ATCTCGACCTCAGCCACGGTTTAGAAACTGCTACCCATGTTCCCATGTGCACGCTAACTGTTCCCTCGATCTCGACCTCAGTCACGATTTAGAAATCGCTACCCATGTTTTCATGTGCATGATAATTGTTCCTTCCATCTCGACCTCAGTCATCGAGTACTTTAAACTGCTTCTGACCACCTAAGAACGGTTTAGAAACCGCTACCCATGTTCCCATGTGCATGATAAATGTTTCCCTCGATCTCAATTTCAGACATCGAGTATTTTGAATTGTTTCTGACTTCCCTCAAACTTAACTTCATACTCAATACTTATTATCGGTTTTTTACTCCTAATCATGTTCATCGAATTTCTCCTATCCATTTTCGATTCAGATTCTCGATTTTTCCTAACACATGGTCATCGAATTTCTCCTATCTATTTTCGATTCAGATTCTCAATTTCCCTAACACATGGTCATCAAATTTCTCCTATCCATTTTCGATTCAGATTTTCGATTTTCTCCAACACATGTCATTAAATTTCTTCGCTCGATTTTCGATTCATATATTGATTTTTCCCATCAACAAATACATTTCACGAAGAGATGAAATTATAGAAGCTAAATTAAGAATGTATTACAGGTGTAAGTATTAAAATAAAATATGTTATGTATATAGAGGGGGAAAGAAAGAGAAACATTAACTATATCGATAAGATTTTGCACATACAAAAACCTATTTGATAAATTTCTGGATATGAAGAATAAATTGATATATAACCTAAAATGTAAAATTTAATCAAACAAAATTTTCAATATTTTAATTTAGAAAACTAGACTATTTTCGAAAACAGCAGTAGATGATAATATATTCGAGCATTATCTTTACCGCTCTTATACTTTTATATGATTATTTTTATAAAAATATATGGATTTCGAGTTCAATATATTAAATAATTATATATAATTTTTAATTTTTAGAATATTTTTAATAAGAGTTGTTTATTGAAATGGATGAATAAAATACCAATTATATATAATTTTTTTAAAATGAAATAATAAGTTTTTAAATATTTTTATTTAAAAAACTACAAAATTAAGTAAAAAGAGATAAATAAGTAGAGAAAATGAAATATTTAATTTAAAAAAATACATGAATAAAATTAATAATTTAATACGATATCATAAATCTATATTTATGTTTTTTAAGATAAAAAATACCTTATATTAATTATTCTTATTTGAGATTTGATTGTCTATTTTGTTTGTTTGTAGATAAGTGAACCAATATTTAAATTCAAAAGTCTCCTATAATATTAAGAATCGATCAGCACAATAGTGTCCTGATTTGTTCCTTTCACACATTATTTTTCCAAACTAGCCACTTCAATTTTTTTCTTTAGCTTCGAAATAAGATCAAACTCGCTACACCTACTAATCATGGACAAAGAAAATGAATGGGAAAACACCAAACCGACCAGCCCAAATCTGACCAAACATGGACGGCATCAGAATTTACGGGCATATGTTGTCTTGTTGATTTCTAGTTTTGTCTATGGACATTATGAGACCCTTGACTCGTCAATTGGCTCAGACACCATGGTCGGCGATCTTCTTATTCCAAACTTCCAGGGATAGAAAAAACATCATATTGATATTGAATTCGATTTGGTTGATTAAACACCTTCTCTTTTTCCCACTACCTTTAAAACTTCCGTGTGAAAATTCTACCGGTACTCTGGGTCCCTCATGGTGCAATGAAATTCCTAACTATTATTTTCTAAATCTTTATGATATATTTGAACAAATTCTCTCTCTCTCTATATATATATAGATAGATAGATAATGGAATGACAGGAATGTTACAACCACATGATATTGTTTATTGTAAACTGTATATAATTTGTCTGATTAAAATATGGTATAGATAGAAACAAACTCTTTCTCAAAAAAAAAAAAAAAAAAAAAAAAAAAACACCGTAGCAACCAACCAATTCAATTTCAACGTACTCAACTGTGACTCCCTCTATTTGGCCTTTGCTGTTCTTCATTCAGCCAACTTGTAAGCGTGTGTTTGAAAATATGTTGGTGGGGGGTTGTGTAAGGAATTTCTTTGCATTTTTGGGTTGAACCTATTTTTGGAAGGTTTGAAACCCTATTTTAAAATTTATATTATGTCACCAATCAATCCCTAACTTTTCTCAGATTTTATAATACTTTTTTTCAGTGTTTGGCCTCTTTTTGAACCCATCTCATTTTGTTTGAAACGTGATACAAGCACTCGAGCACATCTTGAAAAACGCATCGTTGCTTATGTCTTCAGTTGGATTTATCAAAAAAATTATATTAAGATTACTTGAAGAAAAGCAACTACAATAGTATATTTTATTTTTGAATTGTCTAGAATGTTTTTTATAATAAAATTGCAAATGAAGAATATAAAGTTATTTTATAGTATTTGGTTGTTTAAATCAATCAATCAAGTATATAAATTAACAAAAAATAAATCATCTAAAGGTTAATTTATTAATTACTAATCATAATCTCTAAAACCTTACTAATTGGAAAAAAAAACATACTTTAAGATTATAATATGTCTCTACTTACAATATTCTCATACGAAAGAGATTATAAACAATTTTATATATGAAATCATATTATAATAAATATAAAAAGTAAAGAAAAAAATCAATTTCCTTTTTAGACATAACATGTATATTTTTTTGTAAAATAATTGCATTTAAAATCAAATAAAAGTTTACTTTCAAATATTACTTTGATTTAGGGTATTTACTATTTGGAAGAAATGATTGAAGAAGATGTGATAGGATTGTTTGGGTTTGGTACGAGTGTATATAAGAAGAAGATTTGTAAGGAAAGTTTTAATGGTAGAAAAATTATGCTTCCTTCTAAAATTAAGATATTCGTGAGCATTATCTAGTAAAGATCATATTTTGAATGAATTTTAAGAATAATGAATTAAATTTATCATATATTATTTTTTCAAATATAATATATTAAATTATAGTATTTTTAAATTATTTAAATATTTTTATTTTTTAGTAATAATAAAAGACTTATATTATCAAATTTTAATCTATTATTTTTAATTAAAGAATAAGATAGGATGAGAGAATAATAAAAATAATAAATAAATAAAGAGAAATCAAGAAAATAAATAAAGAAAAAAGGGAAGACATCTTTATTAAATTAGATAAATTTATTTTTTTTATTGAATTTTGTATATAAACAATAAACAAGTTTAGTAAATAAAATTAAAAAATTATATTTAAGTAATTTTTTTAAAATATATTATTTATAATATTAATTTTCATATTTTCTCATAATTATATATATATATATATATATTTAATAACTTTTCTTTAATTTTTAACATTTATTATTTAAAATTAAAAATATACTATTTTTAATTTACAAATATTAAATCTCTATTTTTCTTTACTAAATTTTTATATTTTTTCACAAAATATTTATATTTCAAAAAAAATACCTATAAACAATTGTTACATTACATTATAAAAATAACTATCAATCTTAGTCACTTAAATCAAACTAATAATTTACACTTGTTAACTTTCTTCTATCTTTCAATCAAATCAAATCATTACACTTAACAAAACTAATAATTCTACCTACTAAACTAAAAAAATATAAATTCAAAATGAATTATTGAACTAAACTCATTCAAAATAAATGGGAGCAGTTTTTAATAAAATAATATAAAATGATGCAATGAATTTAAAGATGTAAAATGCCTTGCACGTGGATGTATATTCTTTGTCTTCTTCTTCCATGCCTTTGTTATTGTCGTTTGTGTGGTGACGTTATCTTTCTCATCAATTACTCCCACAATGCGACAACAACCTTCAACCAACTTTGGCGTGTATATCTCTCAAAATCCAATATGTCAATATTTTTATACCACAGCACCTGTGCAACGTCTTTCATTGATGGCAAAGTGCAATAATGGACAAACAAAAAATCTTGACTTTAACTCCACTTTTTTAATTTTCTTTCAGGAATAAAATCAATGTACCCACTATATTTTTTTGGATGTATAATAAGAGAGATACATTTGTTTTTCCTTTTATATATACATATATAGAAGATATGCTGAAAAAAATAAATAAATAAAGGTGGCTAAAATATGATTATTCATGCACAGTAATAAAATTTTATTAAAAAGTGTGGTTACTTTTAGTTATTGAATCAAAATTTTCTTTTGGTTGATACAAGGCAACTACATATAGTTGAACTTAATTTCTTGTGTGGATGATGCCACACAGGAAACAGATCTGCAAGGTGTTAGTGGTAGAACTCTAGCATGTGGGGGAGGACAAACATATTGACTTGAAAGGGTTTAAAGCATAGGAGGATACTTAATTGGAAAGAGAATGAGCTTTAGTAATGTGGTCCCTCTTAAAGAAAATAATTTCCCCCTGAATTTATTCATATGCATCATCCAAAGTATCAACTTTCTCCTGAATTGTACAAAAAGGTATCAGCACCACAAATTTGACACCTTGGTCTATGTCCGACACCTGTCAACTTTCTGTTATCCTCAACTTTTAATCTGTATGCAGTAGGTATTTTCACACTTTATGTGAAAGGGTTTTGCTCCGTGGCTCAAAAAATAGCTTTTGTAGTGCCACAAACAAAGAAAATTAGGAACAGACAGGTTAATATAATTGACGCCACCACTTTTAGACACCCATAAATTACTATTTAAAAACAAACATTACTTAAACTAGATTTTGGACTCTTGTTATTATTGCCCCATAAGCCCAAGCCTGATTTACTGAAGTAATGGGCTTGGCTTAGACGAAGCTGTTAGCCCATTAAGTGAATGAGCTCTGAACCCATTCAATTCCTTCATACTCGTTCCTATATATTAGATTAACAGATTTCAGTTATTTTCATTTTATCATACCCAAGAGTATTTTTCTTGGACAAGAATTTAACTTGTAGGATCTTGATCTGAGATTATCGTTGTGGAAGGATGAGGAAGGGTGTGGTGGTGATAGTGAGCACAACTATGGCGGTGGTGGCAGTAGGGGCATTCATCAGAAAATGGAAGCGATGGAAAGAACAACAGATGAAGCAAACGAAGCACATAATTAGAAAGTTTGCAAGAGAAAGTGCCACCCCATTAGCAAAGCTTTGGCAAGTAGCTGATGATATGGTGTCGAGCATGAAAATCTCTCTTGCTTCTTCCGGTGAATCTTCCTCTCTCGACATGGTCCTTTCCGACGTTACATCCCTCCCACTTGGGTAATTTACATTTTTCTTTCTTTTTCATCCCTATTAGTTTTGTTAATCTTTAGTGAGAAACTTGACTAATTATTTTTAAAGAACGGATTCAGGCTGGACCACAAAAATATTGGCCCAAATTAGACTAACCCACTTCTTACTTTTGGGAAGGTTGGATCAATGCATTGAACAAATCTAGTTAGACAAATTGAACTAAGACAAAAAAAGAATTTTTGTGGTTTATGATTTATCGTGATCGAGGAAGGAAAAAAAAAAAAGAAGAAGAACAAAAACCATTAATGTTTTATTTTTATTTTTTTAAAAAAGTAACATTGATTGGGACGTGGCAGAGATGAAGAAGGATTTTTTTATGGGGCTAATTTGCATGGAACGCATTTGTTGATGTTGTGTGCGCGGCTAGGAGGAAAGAATATGCCTATCTCTGCCTTACAAAGAGAACAGATTTCCATCCCTGATGCTGTCTTGGCTGGTCCTTCTGAGGTACTTTTTTACCTCGATTCACCTCCTCCTAATTTCACTTTCTCTTACCATAAATACTAATGTATATGCTATAATTTGGGGATATAATGTTGCTACATGTAGTTTACATTCTTGATTTGATTTATATAAATGTATGCATTATAATGGCCAAAGCACATGTCATACTTGTTTTGTCAGGAAATAACTGATTACGTAGCTACAGAGATTGCTAAGTTCGTTTCGGGGCATTCTGGGATCGACGAGAGTGCACCCACCAAAAACAAGAATTTGGGCTTCACCTTGTCATATCCAGTCGATCAAGTTATGCCTTTCATGGCCACAACATTTCAACGCAAAAACTCAAACGACTCAGTTGAGTTTAGTAGCCTACATGCATGCATGCATTTACAATTTTATAAATTATATATTTGTATATATGATTGTGTGTGTGTGTTTTTTTCTAAACTAAACCTTAATTGAACTAAAAGGTGACGCAAGTTAGTTTACCATGAGATCATAAGTTTGATCCAAAAAAAAATAATCAACTTATTTTATTTTCTATAAACTAAAACATTCATGGTGTGGAAGCAGGTTCACAAAGGAATGGTGAAGGACCTAAATCGAGCGTTGACTAACCATGGAGTGAAAATGCAAGTTGCTTCTCTGGTTAGAGCCCTGTCAATTAATTTTGCAAATGTTACATTTTCAGGGGTCTTTGTCTTTCCACGTCTGAAACAATAGCAGATTCAAAACATTAATACTGAATAGGTTGATGAAACTATTGGAGGCTTGGCCGGTGGAAGATACTATAATAGGGAGAGCGTGGCTGCAGTTACCCTTGCCATGAACACAAATGCTGCTTATGTAGAACCAGCAGAGGAAGTTGCCAGTGATCTCACACAATCTCCCAATTCAACTGAACTGGTTAGTTAAACAGTCCTCACTAATAGTATCCATGTTTGAGAAATTATTAAACAGTCCTCACTAATAGTTAATTACATATAATTATATGTCATGTAGTGATTAGTTAGGATGTAATGGTTTTAAATCATGTCATAATTATTTTTTTCTGCACACACATTATGTGTCAACTGTGTGAATTAAGCCAGTTAAGTGATTAATTCGAGTGTAATATTGCAGGTGATTAGCATGGAGTGGGGAAACTTCAATTCCCCTCATCTTCCTTTAACATCATATGATGCTAGTGTAGATGCTGAAAGCTCAAATCCTGGTAGCCAGGTATGTATATAGCTGCTGAAATCACTGCTGTACAGTTACTATAGGTGTTATAAATATATATCAGTCATCTACAATTGGCGACTGAGATTTCTTTTGTTTAGGTTTTCGAAAAGCTTATTTCAGGAATGTATTTGGGAGAAGTTGTGAGACATGTCTTGTTGAAGTTGGCCCAGGAAACAGCCTTATTTGGAAACACAGTGCCTCCAAAGTTAAGGACTCCATACATACTAAGGTACCTCACCCATAATCAGTTCCTCTATTGCATTGCTTTTTTTTTTTTCAAAGTGAAATTGAATGCTTTTAAAACTACCCTCTTTCTTAAGATTCTTCCAATCATTGTTTACAATCTTCATCTGATTTTGACTTTTTACTAATACGATCCTACTTCACGTATAGAAAATCAATGAGCTAGCATGAACGAATAAAGAGTGTAATTTAAATAATGAGACTGATTTTCCGCTTGGTGCAGGTCCCCAGATGTGGCTTCCATGCATCAAGATACGTCGGAGGATCGTGAAATAGTGGCTGAGAAACTGGGAGAGATTTTCGAGGTTAGATGGTACATTTCACCTATCTAATAATAAGATCCATGATATAAAAAAGGGAAATAACAAATTAATTAACTTGAACAATTGGTAATTGAACAAATCACAGATCGATAATTGTGATCTAATGGCACGGGAAGTGGTGGCTGAGGTGTGTGACATAGTAGCAGAGAGGGGTGCACGGTTAGCGGGAGCTGGAATTGTGGGAATAATTAAGAAGCTTGGGAGAATTGAGAATAGAAAGAGTGTGGTGACGGTGGAAGGTGGGCTTTATGAGCACTATCGCATTTTCAGAAATTACCTTCATAGCAGTGTGTGGGAAATGCTAGGCAATGATCTCTCAGACAATGTCATCATTGAACATTCACATGGTGGTTCTGGAACTGGAGCTCTGTTCCTTGCTGCTGCTCAAACTCAAACACATAGTGCAGATTCTTGACCCTTTATATTCTACTCTTTTCTTTTCTTTTCTTTTGGCCTTCCTGTTTTGAGAAGCAAAATACATAATCATGATGCTTGAACTACAAAGAAGAATTTCTTTTGCCTTTGAATGCGTTTTTTCTTTCATTGATTAGCTTACAGTGAGTGATTTGGGCTCTTTAACTGGGCATGTGGTATACTCGATCTGATACACCAGCTAGATTGGTTGCTGGTAATTGCAGACAAAAAAAAAAAATATTGAAGTTGGATAAGTTGAAATTTCCCTTTTTGTTTTCTACTAATAAGGGATTTGAGATTTGATTTCAACAATCTGACATTCAACATGGTAAATTTGCATAAAGAAAAGCATTCTACGCTATAGAGCATAATTTGGGAGCCTTTGTTAACCACCAATAAACAAAAATATACCAAACAAAACAAAAAGGATTTATTTGGCCCATTATATTGACGACACAATTGTGCCATGCTTTTTTATTAATTATATGTGCCATTATATTCATATATGCTTTTTACTTCACCCCATTTTTAATTTCTATTATTTTTATCAAATCATATATTTCGTTCCCATCTGTTTCTTTCGCAAGATCTCGGATATTATTAGGTGTTCATACATATTTATTCGTTTTTTATCGCAATACTCCCCATCATGGTTGATTTGTCCCAAATGGAATATGGAGGAGTCCGATGCAGGGTGAAAAAGGCTCTAAGGAGAGGTTATGCTAATGCTAGAGGTGTTAGAAAACACTTTGATATGGCATAGACGTCATGATGAATGGGTGGGTACTTGCTAAAGCCATTTCAGTAACCACAGTAACAGTATAAATTGAATGAGTACCTTATGTTATGTTATGACATTGGTGATATTCATGAGTTGTAAACAAGAGAACAATTTGTTCATAAGTCGAGATGTTATCTACTTGTATCAAGCTTTACATGACCGAAACTTGACTTCTATCAACAAATTATACCTTTGTGGTCAGGTTTTTTTGCTAGGTTGGTAACCGATTCTATAACAATTATCAAATATTTTATTAAAAAGAGGATAAGTTTACAAAAAAGAAATTTTTAAATTGAGATAAGTTAATTATTTGTTAAAAATAAAATTGTTAAAATGTTTCGTTTTTGTGTGTTGTTTTGATGGTATAATACTTATATTTGAGTTGAAAATATACCCTTCAAATCAAATCCTTTATAATGTAATTTGTCCATATACTTTAATTAAAATGTGTGAATGTAATTGGGTCTCATAATATTTATAAATCTAAAAATTTGGTTTTGAATGTCTTAATAACAAATTTTATATATAAAAAAATTATTATATTTTATTTAAAAGAGACTAATATATAATACATTATTACGAGACATGACATTCCAACTAGATCACACCTCATAATTTATCATTCATTATGTCACAAGTATTTGTCACCCCACCAAACAGCTGCCACATATCCCATTCGCATTTCCACATAACTTGCACATAGATTTTCGAGACACAGTATTATAACATTAATAAACCCTAAATTGTGTCCAGTTACAGTAGGATGCTTCCAACGAATAGAAATATTAAAATGCTGCCATATAAGCAAACTTTGAGTGGGAGTAGGAAAGTGCAGTGGATTTCCAACGCTTCAAAAAAAAATAGTTGAGGAAACATATCATATTATTAATTAATACAAACCTAAAAATTATTAGTCGGCATGGTGGAGATTAGAAAGTTGGATGAGATTTTTTCTTAATTATAAGGTGAGATTTGTTGGATAAGACTCCATTAAATATAATTTAATCAACTAAATAAGTAACTCAAAGTTTTATAAGACTCTGTTAAATTCTATTTAATCAAGACCCGTTTTAGCAAACAGGTAAAGTAAAATTTGTCATAATGGAGTTTTCTTTATCAAAATTAAGGGTTATGGGAAGACACAGGTTATACTTGGTATATATCACTCAATTTTTTTATTTTTCCATAAACGAAATTTTTATTTTGGTAGTAATTTTTAGCTTTGTCCATATGCTACTTTAAGTGATACTTTTTAAAATACCGGCATCTATCTTTTTTTATATTTTTTCCATACTTATAATGTTAATTAAATTTGTATTTTATCCTTTTAAATAACGTAAATTTTATCATATTTTAAAATATGTTAATCATTTCATAGTTAAACCTAATGAAAATATGAAACTTACTTAAAAGATGCTATTTTTATTTATTTTGATAGAAAATATTTTATAAGTTAATGACACAATATATGAAATAAAAAAATGAATAATTAAAAATTTAAAAAATAACTAAGATAATTTGTCTGTAAAATAAAAGTGTAGGAGTTTAAAATTAATTAAAAATAAATTATAAATACCTAAAATATGTTTTTATAGATTAAATTATATTTTTATCTAAAAATATTATAATGAATTCAAATTTATCAATTATTTTAATGAATAATGTTTATCGAATATTATAATGCAAGTTAAACTATAAATAAGGTTTTCAACTAGATAACTCGATTAATTTGCCAAACACAACCTTATAACAAAGGATAAAATATTATTTTGTAAAAAAATTCTTAAACAAATTATAAATAAAATTTTGCATGTATTGAAATGAATTTATGCACAAATTAATTTGTAAAAACTCTTTCATAATTCTCAAAACTCTTTGAATTAATTTTAATTTATATAAACAAATCAAATGTTTTTATTTTCTACATTTTCTGTGATAAAAATTGAAGTTGGCCTAAAATTTTGAGACGTGACACAATGATATCTAGATAGCTAAATGGAATAAGTTGATAGACTGTTAATCAATCTAAAGAATAACACTCAATCTGTTTTGATCCCTCTCATCTAACCTATTAATTTAATGGATAATATAATATGTTGATCAGTTTTAAAATAATATTTATATATTAAAATAACAATAATTATAATTAAAAGTATTATATTTTTTATTATATTATTAAAATATTTAAATATATTATATTATTATAATTTAAATTATAAAAATTATTTAATTAAATTTAAATTACTAATTATAATTAGTTATTTTAACATATAAATATAATAATTTTTTTAATATATCTAACAAAATTATTAATTAATAAATAAAAAATAAAAATTTATTTATATAATTTAAAAAATATTTATATATATATATATATAAATTTTTATATGAAAAAAATTATTAGCTAACTGAATCACAAACTCGGTAATCTTTCTTTAATAAAACGAGTTAGAATTTATAATTCGTCATGATTATAACTATACGTCCGTACCATTTTTAATGGACCGCATGTTTGGAAACTTTAAAATATGAATGTATATGCAGGCCATAAGTAGATAGTCTAAGTTGGGCCAAGACATATAGATTTGGGGCAACTACCACACAAGCTTTGAGGTAAAATGTGGTAGTAAAAAATATCTCCTAAATTACTAGCTTTACGTGTCCAGAGATTCTTTCCATTTACTACAAAGGATTAGTCCTATCTCAGGTAATGGGACAACTAATATAGCTCTTAACTTTTTCAACACCCGTTCACATTAAAATAAAATAAAAAATCTTATCGGTATCTATATTATGGAGATAATAATTTTAATCCCTTCTCTTATGCCCAATTTATTTATGTACATTAATAAATCAATGAAAAAATATAAATTTAAAGCTTTCCTTCCAGATTAAAAAAATTTACTTTTTATCTTATACATATTTATTATATACACATATATTTTTATTATTATTTTTTTATATTTCTTCAACATGTTATCATATGCATGTCGCAATAAGGGTCAACATCCCCTTTTGCCTTTTTTTTAACAAACCAAGCCTTCAAGGGTACGCTACGACGTAACATATCTATGTTGCAATATACACGTCTTAAATTGAAGAGCTATGTTTAATTCATAATTAATTTATATAATAAAGTTATAACTGTATTGTATTATATTTTAAGGGTATTTTTGTGTCTCATACAATATCTTAGGCAGTTGAAAAAGAAATGATTATAATTTACAAATACAGAAAGGTCCACTGAAATATATACACAGTCTAACAAATCACTTTTATACCACATCATTGTGTCGAGGTTATCTCACAATCTCAATTTTATGCTGCATACTTTATACGAGAATGACATGCAGTGGTTCCTATCGAAGCCTAGACAAAGTTAGTGGGGGTTGATACATGTGCGTTTATAGGATGATACATCCCAAAGTCAACATTGATGAATTAGCAATGCCAAATGCATTGCACTCACCATTCTCTTTTCTTTGTTTCTTTTTCTCTCTTGGCTACGCTATTGCTTCTCTAACAGACCCTCATCACATCAACTATGTTTTAGCCCACAACACGACAAAATAGAGGCTACTCCTTTTGGGCTTCTAAATCCTTTTCAAACTCCAAGTAATTATCCTTTTCAACACAATCTTGTCCTTTCTAAATCTCATGGGCCCAAATCATGTCCTCCTGTCCCCAGTACAATAAATTATTTCCAAAATTTAATTAACATTTTAGTTTTTTATTTATTTATGATTTTCATCAAAAAATACAGAAAAGTACAGCATCGAAAGATTAACTTTTTATTGATGAAATTATTTAATCAACACTTTTATGATTGAGGAGTATTTCTTAAACTAAATATGCAACGTGTTCAGTGTATGTTATCAAGAATGTGATAAAATTGTACAATCATTGAACCGCCAAAAATACTGTACACATGATTTAGCTTATCATTTTGGTTCTACGACTAATTTGTATTCTATAATTATTAATGCTTTAACTTTATCACTCTTCAACCCCTACTTCTTCTAAAAAAAATATTTTCATGTTTTTTTATTATCATTTTGGTGTTTTAATTTTTTATATAAACGTTTAATGTGTAAATTTTCATGCTTGTTATAAAGTTGTTGTCGTAACAACTAGTAGTAAGCATACCTGTGTACGCACCCGTTGGGTTCATTTCCGGTTAACATAATGTTTAAAATGCTTAATTAAAAAAATAATGTAGGAATATGGAAAGACATTTAAAAAGTATTAAAATAATAAGATAGGTTTTTTAGAAAAAAAAAACAACAACAATTATTTAGGACCGTCTTTCAAAATTTGTTTATTCAAAGAGTATATATTACCTGAAAATTTAAGATCGAATTTGAACTTAGAGAAAAATCATTTAACAAATGGTAAAAGGTAAGAAAATGTTTAAAATATTTAATCAAGTAAATAATAAAAAGTATCAAAATATCAAAAGTGTTTTTGTGTAACCAAACATTAACCTCCCACTTTATGTTCGTTGTAAATTTTTTTACAACTAAATTTTAATCTATTTAAGGTTTCAATTAGGATAATATCTATATAACACGAATTTAATTTTTTTTTACGAGATACCTACCTAGAAAACACTTAATTATTGATGGAAAGTGAAGATATTGAGGATGTAACACAAATTTAATTTATTTGTTTACGAAATACCTATTAAGATATTTCGACGCTTAATTATTGATGGAAAATAAAGAATTTATTATCTATTATTATTAAAATAAAAAATATATTATAAGGTGTAATTATGTTATGATACGAAATTTTATTATGTTTTTATTATATTAAGAACCGGCACTAATACACAGGATAAAGAAATAATAAGATAGATGTTTTTGAAAAAAATATATAAGAATGTAATTATGTGATATGAAATTCTATTGTTTTTTTATTATATTAAGAATAAAGAAATAATAAGATAGATTTTTAAAATAAACTCTTTTAAATGAAACAAAGATTTATAGAAGCAATAAAGGAGAGGAAGTTTGAAAGAATTGTTGTATTATAAGGGGATTTAAAAAAAAACATTTTTATATCTATTTTGTATTATAACAATAGGCCGGAGGGAAGGGGTATGCGGGACCACAGTCCCTCTTACAAAAAATCTTTTAAGTTTTTATTATTATTTTTTTAATTTTATTCAAAAAATATTTATGATTTCTAAAAATTTATTTATTTTGATTGACCTAAAATTAATTTATCGTTTCACCTCTCATTATAATAATAATCTTGTTAGAATTTTAGGTTAAATTTGTTTTTATTAAAATTGACATATTTTCAAATTTAATTTGATTTAGGTGTTTGTTACACACTATAAAATTTTAAACTTTTACGAGTAGTTAAAAAAAAAACTTTAATTATAAAATATTCCTTTAAAACACAATATTTAATTACATACACATAGGAAATTTTGATTTTTTTAAATCAACATTAAATATATTATTATATATATTTTTTATTCTTATGAATCAAAATTTTAAATCATCTTTTATAATTGGAATAACGATGGAACGATAAAAAAAATAAACAATAAAAAAATAATTTGTCATCAATATTTACACAGTAAAATATTATAACAACCCATTAAAAAAAGGTAGTATTTACACTAAGTTAACTTATTATAAATACTTTTTTTAAACAACTTTATTAATTTAGATAAAATAAACTTTTGGAACAAAACATTACTCAACATGCTTCCTTAAGTCTCAAAAATTACAAGCTTCACATTCCATTAATCTAATATATACATTTAAATATTATTTAACTAAAATATAAAGTTTTATTGTTTATAATTATAATATATTTATTTAAAATTATTACTATGTTTAATTTTGTAATTTTAATTTGGATAAAATTCAAGATGATAAGTTGTCTCAATTTGTATATTTAATATTTATAATTAAAAGGATGTCACATTTAAATAATTTTTTTTAATAAATTATTAATTTTAATACTTATAAAACGCTTGTAAAATTTAATTTTAAATATTAAAACATTATACATAACTAATACAATTTGACTTTGAAATTTTAATCGTACAAAAGCCCTCACTAAATTTTTCTTTTAGAGGAAAGACATTTCTTGACAATTAAAACAACTAGTTAAATAGAAATGGAAACGTAACTTAAAAAAAAAAAAGATTATGAGCCTTATTATATGCATAATATAAGTTTTTTTTTGTAAGATAGTAATGTTTAGCTAATAATTGGTGTACAAAATAAATTTTTTTAAAATGTCTAAGCTAAAAAAAAAATTTACTTATGACGCGGTTAAGGAGTGTCATACACATAGACACTGTTCTACAAACAAGTCGTGAGTGCTCTCTAGACCCATATTTCAAAGCTAAATTTTACATGCTTTTTCCGTTCAACTTGATAAAATTTTCTTTAACAATTACGTTATATAATGTATGAAGTAGAAAATAAATTTGACATTTATACAACTTGATCATATTATATATATTATGTAAAATAAAAATTTGGTAATAATTAAATAATATGTATTTATAGACTAGTCTTAAAATAATAATCCCTATTAATTTTGATACTATTGGAGGATTTGATAATTTATACGAGATTTTAGATAAAAGTTTCACTATTGCTTGTTATACCAAAAAAAGTGTATTTAATTTTTTTGATTAAAAATATTTTGATTTTAATCAAAAATTTTAAAATGATTTTTTTTTCTGAAATTGATTGTTCACCACCTTCTAGATATTTGCATTCGTGTTTCTAGGAGAAAAGTTGCATGTATTTTGAAACCTGGTTGTGTACATCCGTGCAGACACTTATAGTGTGTTTGTTAATACTCCTATAAGTTTGGTTTTAATATAATAAAAGATCAATTAAATATAAACTTTTAACACAATTCACAATATAACAAATAACTAAGGTATGCTAGTTAATTATTTTTTTTTCTAACAAATAACAAAAACACATTTATTTGTTCAATGCGTCCTCTTTGTCGTCAATTTTCAGCTGTAGTTGTTGATATCTCTTTCAAAGTTTTGTCGTTAATTTCACTATATAAAATTGTTTGTAGGAAGAGTAATTGGCTTAGTTTGTTGGGTAGGGACCTAGGGAGGGTGGATTATCAATATATGAGTCCAGTGGTAGCCTTATTACTCTTTTTGTAAACTGAAAAGACTGGTTATGCCATTTTTCCACACTTACAAAGCAATGCACACTAAAGTTGAATAATGGGCATCAACCACTTGCTCTGTTGCGATCCTCCAACTTCAAGAGTAGTATAGTAGCATTGCAGCCAGCAGGATCTGCTTCATGATTCATCACACAACTCCAAGATGTTACTTGTACGTTAAAAAAAAAAGGATGGCAAAGGGACCAGTTAAGTTTTTCGAGAGAATTAGAGGGACAGACCCATGAATAGTTTGGGGTTCCAATGGTGAAAAGAAGACAAAAGGAACAGCATCCGAGAAAATTTTAATATTCTAACAATAGGATACAACGTGTTTTATGGGATACAAGAGCTTCGGGCTCCCAAATTTTGTTCAACTCAACACAAAGTCTTCCTTGTTCCAAGTGAAAAAAATAAAGCAATTACAGCTAGCGAATCTTGCTTGCCCCGCACTAGAATTACACAATAAACTAAAAACTTTCAACATAGCTAATTATTACTTTGTGAAACAGCGCAAGTATATTCAAATTTAATAAAAAAAACAAAGCTAGTTAAGAACCAGTATTGTGATCTATTCCCTCTTTCGGTAATTTGTTCATCTATGTAGGTAGATAAGGAAACATTAAATAGTTTTAAAATTATTCATAAAATTCCTTCTATAGCTAGCTAACTCCAAAACTTTGTCTGGGTCATACGATCACGTGCAGAGTGATTAGGAAGTTAACATCAAGATTAATCTGATTTCGCATCATTGTTAATCTGTTCCGGTCAAGTAAGTCACGTAGAAACAAGACTTCCAATTATTAATGATTAATGAAAAGGTTATATATAAAGACAAACTTGACCTATGCATGTATTTCTTGGATGCTAGAATCATGGCCTGCATTATTCTGATTACAATGTCTAATTCAGGTGGAAAAAACCAAAAGCACTGAAGTGATTGTGATTGATTAAGAGTGAATCTCTTGTAATCTTGTTCCTAATCTATGTGCCCATCAACCTGTCTTTCTTACTAAGTACAGTCCTCGGCTACTAAGATCCTGTTTGATCCTTGAATAGAAGAAATTCTTAGTGCCTGCATATATTGGCAAATACCAGTTGAAATTGAAATAGTTGTGTTGTGCGTGATCTATGCTTCTTAATTGCACTGGATATTCACCTGTTTAACGTCATCAAGAGAACGCGGTCCCGACATCAGTGGCTTTTTACCAAGGCTTTAGGAATCAGAATCAAAAGGGTGCGTTTGAATACATTATAAAGGATCGTGGAGCAAAAGTGAATGAACAATTTTTGACAGGTTCAGAATAAAAGTTATGGTAAAGGAGTGGACTGCAAAAGTTATATTGCTCCATGTCTTTAAATGACTTAGTGTTTTTTTTTTTCAATTTCAAATTAAATTTTATCTTATAATTGACTCAAATATGAAATTAGTTACTTACATATAGGATAATTTGTTTTCAGTTCTCCGTTTAAAAAATCCAAAAAGAAAGTTTGTTTTAGTCTCTATGTCAAATCATTGCTAGAGATTTCACTAACACCATTAGTAAAATAGTTTATGAAAGAATTTATTGTAATTTTGCATTTATATTATTAAACATCTTACTATTTGTGTTTTCCTTTTTTATTATTCAATCTAATTATATATGGGCACGTTGGCATATAAACTAGATAACTATTACATTTTTTTTAATTTACTTGACTTAAAAACAGTTTTTCTTATATTTAATCATTCATATTGTTAAAAATTTTATCTTTTAATTCTTAGATTCAAAAATATCATTTTAGTATTTGTACAAATACTTCCAATTCTGATTTGCCATTAAAAAAACTTAACACTATCAACAAACGCTAATGTGACGTTAGGTTTTAAACTTTTCATTTTTAGTCCACGTTAGCTCGTGATGAATACATAGGGGACAAGGGAGATTAAGAAAAATAAAATGTTAACAAGAGCAAAACAGAAAATAAAATTAAGATAAAATGTTAGATTAACTCAAATGTGATTAATTTGTACTTCAATGGATTTGAAAAAAACTGAAAAGTAAAATAAAAAAATAGTAGTATCGTCTGAAGACTATTATATCTTTAATGGTGAGTGGGGCCCTATAAGAACATGTATAATTTATAAGTGGAGTAACATAATAGAAAAAAATGATGATGGATCTTCCCGTAAATTCACCTAAAGCACATTAAGCACTTGATAGAGGGTCGCAAATAAGGGCAATAAGTAGCCAAGTGGTTAAAGTGATTAATGACATTATTGGTTTTATTACCGTAAACACACATCAGAAGGTACCACTTCCACTGTATGTGGTTACTTGTCACTTTCTTCAAAGGGCTCACCCATACCCTTGCCACCTTATTTCATTGCTACTGCTACAATTATTGTTACTTTTATTATTATTAGAATAATAATATTACAAACAGCTAAATAAATAAAACAACCATTTCTTAATCTCATACATCAATATATTAATATTAGTACTTATATTTATTTTTATATATATTTTTTATAGAGTTATCTATTAGTTATTTTTAAAAATATTTTCATTATTAACATTATACGTATGCGTTTGGTCATTCTCTAGCACAAAAGTATGTTGTTTTGTGTTGGACGGTAATGGAAGGGGACCATTGTATTAGATAGGATAATCATTCTCACTACTTTCTCTTGCTACCAGCGTTTCAAAATATAATTATTTATTATTAATTTGAAAATATAATAGGAAGTGGAGTGGTCGAAGTAAAATTGGGCGGAGGGAAAGGGTAAAAAGGAAATTGATTGAATGTGCAAGGCCCAATGGTGAGTTGAGTGAAGGGAGGGAGGTGTCTTGTAAATTGTAATAATGGGAGTAGCGGAGGCAGAAGACAAGAACATAACATAGGGTTTTGTTTTGGGAGTCTTCTTCATAGTCTTCTCTCTTCCTGTGTCAGTCACCAATGTTTGACCAACTTTATCCAATCCAACAAAATTATTACTGTTTAATAATTACCAACCACTGTTCAACAATTTTATTTCCCTTTTCAATTTCTCTCTTCTTGCATTGCATGTCTAATTCTAAGGTCTGCGTGGTTAACTCATTTTGAGTAATGATGTCTAGTTTTCTTATCCTCATGCTCGCACACTGTCTCTGCCCGTGGGTCCTCTGCTCCAATTCACGCATCACATCAATGGGTCCAATTCCTTCCAAAACAATACACTGCATCATTTTCTTCTCCTTCTCACAAACAACGTCATATGCTCCTATGTCTACTTGTCATTGTTTGGTAACTATACATTCAACTTTAAATTACGAAAATTAATATATTCTTAAAATGTGGAAATAGTATGATTAAATAAAATGGCAATAATGTATTTATCAAAAACATTAAACTATTGAAATAACTTTTATTATCTACTTTTGAAATTGAAATAAAGACTTAAATTCATCACACAATGTGATTATAAGGGGCTGATATAATCCTATCCCAAAAGAAAGATGGGTAATTTGTGTTATCTATAACAATTTAGAATAAGTATAATTGATCATAGATGCAATTGAGCTTCTGTTATTTTTTTTTATAAGTAAATCATTTAGAACTTTTAAAGAATGTCTAAATAAATATTCTTTAAAAAATGTTTCCATCACCAATTAAAGTCCGTTATAAAAATTAGTTAATGTCATGACTTCATAAAAATTTCAATGACAAGAGAATTTTTGTTAAAAGATCAATTATTTTTAAAGCAGGGATTTCTAAAAATATTAGATTGGAAAAATGTTGATAAAGGTGAAAAATAGTTTTCTTAAAATTTATATATATATATATATATATATATATATATATATATATATATATAACGAAACTATTTAATTAGTCTAATAATTAAAATTTATTAAAGTATAATGTTAAAAACAATACAATTACCTTCAAACAAATTATAAAAAACTTAAAAATACACGTATAGTTTATCAATATTAGTATTTTAAAGTGTGAAATTTAAATAATAAAATAAATATTAAAAATTATAAATTTGTAAAAATTAAGAGGTTAGCATAAAAAAATTTCATATATAATTAACAAAAAACAATATGATTTATCATTATCAATATTTTACATATTAGAAAGATAAAAATAGGAAAAAAAATTCATGTAAAAATAATTGAACCCACCTTATATTGAAAATAATAAAATAAATAATAAAGTTCTACCTAATGCATAAAATGGTATAACGAAAGTTTAAAAAATATTTTAAGAAAAAAATATAGTAAAAAATAAGAAAAATACTTAAAATAGATTCTTAAAAAAATGCTACTAGTTATTGAAAAAGTTTTTTATTATGAACTACTATAGAAACTTAAAGAACTAGTTCTTATCAAACAAGAAAGTTAAAATTAGTTAAAATGAGTGATTTTATTTAAGCTTGTTTTAAAAAAGTGTATTTGAAATCAAATTAGCATTTTTTTGTTTATTTATAAAAGAATCACATTTTTTTTGTTTACTTTTTCTAAGAAACAAATTCTACCTATTTTTATAATAAATAATTATTTAAAAAATGTTTTCAGAAATACTTTTTTAAGTTTTATGTTTAAGTAAACTGATAAATATTTCACAAACTGTATCAATAATTGTAAAACTCAACCCAGCTTTACTGATTTGTTTAAAATATAAAACTACTGTGCATTGGTCTTTACCGAACTACATTGGTTGTGTCATGCAAAAGAAACCATTGGAGAGACTAACAGAATGAGATTTGAAAAATTGTAGAAAAGAAGACTACTCTATCTGTAATTATATAAATGAAAATAATATAAAATACATGAGTATAGAAAATAATAATAAATATAAGTAACAAATAGATTAATGCACGAGCGAAAGTGTGAAATGATTAAAAAAGACAGTGATAAAATTAGAAAAGACAAACTAAAATTTGTGTAATGATACAAGAACAGAACAATAAATAAGTGTAAAAGAAAGAGAAACCTGGAAACATGCAGTAGGCGTATTAAAGGTATTTTCTGGAGATTATAATATATGATTTGTGGTTATATTATATAGTATTTAAATTGTTGGTGTGAATGATGATGATGGTATGTTATGATTTTGATAAATAAAGTAGAAAAATAATGTTGGTAAAATAGTGTGGGTTTTGAAGGAGATAAAGATGAGAAGGTCTGGGCATGCCTGAACGCTGGCTCAGTCCTCATCCACTCACCTTGCTCAGGGGTCAGTGATCAGTAGCAGTCACACACAAACAAACACACACAATACAAATGTACACACACAACACACTTTCACTCACTCTCTAACTCACTTCCATCCTCCTTCTCATTTTCATTTCCTTCCATTCGCACGCAAAATGCGACTCCTCTGGTCGCTCTTCGTCTTCTTCTTCTTCCATTTTCACGTACTCAAAGCTGCGCGCATCTCAGAGTATCGGGCGCTTCTCTCTTTCAAAGCGTCTTCCATTACTGACGACCCTACCAATGCTCTCTCCTCCTGGAACTCCCCCACCCCCTACTGCTCTTGGTTCGGTGTCACGTGCGACTCGCGCCGCCACGTCACCACCCTAAACCTCACCTCCTTGTCCCTCTCCGGCACCCTCTACGATGACCTCTCCCACCTCCCTTTCCTCTCCAACCTCTCCCTCGCCGACAACAAGTTCTCCGGCCCAATCCCCGCCTCCTTCTCCGCCCTCTCCGCCCTCCGCCACCTCAATCTCTCAAACAACGTCTTCAACGCCACCTTCCCCTCCAACCTCGCACGCCTCGCCAACCTCCAAGTCCTTGACCTCTACAACAACAACATGACCGGCCCCCTCCCCCTCGCCGTCGCCGCCATGCCCCTCCTCCGCCACCTCCACCTCGGGGGCAACTTTTTCTCCGGCCAGATCCCTTCCGAGTACAGCACCTGGCAGCACCTCGAGTACCTCGCACTCTCCGGCAACGAGCTCGCCGGAAACATCCCGCCGGAGCTCGGAAACTTGACTGCACTTCGCGAGCTCTACATTGGCTACTTCAACACTTACTCCGGCGGCATCCCTCCGGAGATTGGAAACCTGTCCCAGCTTGTCCGCTTCGACGCCGCGTATTGCGGACTCTCCGGCGAAATTCCGGCTGATCTCGGAAGGCTTCAGAATATGGACACGCTGTTTCTTCAGGTGAATGCGCTATCCGGCTCCCTCACGCCTGAGCTGGGGAACCTGAAGAGCCTCAAGTCGATGGATCTGTCCAACAATATGCTCTCCGGCGAGGTTCCGGCGAGCTTTGCGGAGCTCAAGAATCTCACTCTGCTGAACCTCTTCCGAAATAAGCTCCACGGCGCGATTCCCGAGTTTGTCGGAGAGTTGCCGGCACTGGAGGTGCTGCAGCTTTGGGAGAACAATTTCACGGGAAGCATTCCTCAGAGCTTGGGAAGAAACGGAAAACTCACTCTCGTTGATCTTTCTTCGAACAAGTTAACGGGAATGCTTCCTCCTGATATGTGTTATGGGAATCGTCTCCAGACTCTGATAACTCTTGGGAATTATCTGTTCGGTCCAATTCCTGATTCTCTTGGGAAGTGTGAATCTTTGAGTAGGATTCGAATGGGGGAGAACTTTCTTAATGGTTCTATTCCAATTGGTCTCTTTGGGCTTCCGAAACTGACCCAGGTCGAGCTTCAGGACAATCTTCTCACGGGGCAGTTTCCTGAGGGTGGTTCTATTGCTATTAATCTTGGTCAGATTAGTCTCTCTAATAACAAGCTCTCTGGGCCGTTGCCACCCACCATCGGAAATTTCACCAGCATGCAGAAGCTTCTTCTCGACGGTAACAAGTTCTCGGGTCAAATCCCTCCGCAGATAGGGAGGCTCCAACAGCTTTCCAAGATTGATTTTAGCCATAACAAGTTCTCCGGACCTATTGCTCCTGAGATAAGTCGGTGCAAGCTTTTGACCTTCATTGATCTCAGCCGCAATGAGCTCTCTGGGGAGATTCCAAACCAGATAACTGCCATGCGGATATTGAATTACCTCAACGTTTCAAGAAACCATTTAGTTGGCTCCATTCCAGGGTCCATAGCTTCTATGCAAAGTTTAACTTCTGTTGATTTTTCGTACAACAATCTCTCTGGTTTGGTTCCTGGAACCGGGCAGTTTGGCTACTTTAACTACACCTCTTTCCTAGGGAACCCTGAACTCTGTGGTCCTTATTTGAGTCCTTGTAAAGACGGGGTTGCTAATGGCCCTCGTCAACCTCATGTAAAAGGCCCTCTCTCTTCTTCTTTGAAGCTTCTGTTAGTTATAGGGTTGCTTGTGTGCTCCATTGCATTTGCTGTTGCAGCAATAATCAAAGCCCGGGCTTTGAAAAAGGCTAGTGAAGCACGTGCGTGGAAATTAACTGCATTCCAGCGTTTGGACTTCACTGCTGATGATGTTTTGGACTGTTTGAAGGAGGATAACATAATAGGGAAAGGAGGTGCAGGGATTGTGTACAAAGGGGCAATGCCGAATGGGGATCAGGTTGCTGTGAAAAGGTTACCTGCCATGAGCAGAGGATCTTCCCATGACCATGGTTTCAATGCGGAGATTCAGACTTTGGGGAGGATTCGACACAGACACATTGTTAGACTGTTGGGCTTCTGTTCAAACCATGAGACGAATCTCTTGGTGTATGAGTATATGCCTAATGGAAGTTTAGGTGAGGTTCTTCATGGCAAGAAAGGTGGTCATTTGCATTGGGACACAAGGTATAAAATTGCTGTGGAGGCTGCGAAGGGCCTTTGTTATCTTCACCATGACTGTTCCCCACTCATTGTCCATCGAGATGTTAAATCCAACAATATTCTTCTTGATTCCAACTTTGAAGCACATGTTGCTGATTTTGGGCTCGCAAAGTTCCTGCAAGATTCTGGAACATCTGAATGCATGTCTGCAATTGCCGGTTCGTATGGATACATAGCTCCAGGTAATACATTAAAATTCAACATAATTAATGATTTATATGTTGAACTAGTGTGACTAATAGCCTTCATTTCTCTATAGAATCCTTAACGGTTGGGGCCTGTCTCATGTCACTCTATATCATTATTTAGGCTTAGAATTGAACTGTATAGAATCCTTAACGTTTGGTGTGCCTAATTTATTAATAAACGCTAACATGCTATGTTGCCTTCCTTGACTCGTTTTTGTTTTCTTCGCGCCGAACACAAGTGACCTCTAAATTATTTTGCTTCCAAATACTGTTACTGCTTAAAGCAAATGGTAGTTAAGTCTTTAGTTTGAGTCTTGATCATAGTCCCCATGGTATAACTAGGCAGTCCTGTAGTTATAGATTGGAGATGTTCACCGTTGAAAATAGATGGTGATTAATTGGCAACATGCACCTCAAAGTAAATCGATGGCACATTCCCATGGCTTTATAACACAGACTTTATGTTAATTGTTTCCAATTTATTTGGCTGCTTTTTTTTTTCATGGTTATTGATTTAAGTTTGGGATTTGGACTGCAGAGTATGCGTACACTTTGAAAGTTGATGAGAAAAGTGACGTGTACAGCTTTGGAGTTGTTCTTTTGGAGCTTGTAACAGGCAGGAAACCAGTAGGGGAGTTTGGAGATGGTGTAGACATTGTGCAATGGGTGAGGAAAATGACGGACTCAAACAAGGAAGGAGTTCTAAAGGTTCTTGATCCTAGACTTCCCTCAGTTCCACTCCATGAGGTGATGCATGTTTTCTATGTAGCCATGTTATGTGTTGAGGAACAGGCGGTGGAACGACCAACTATGCGTGAAGTTGTTCAAATTCTGACCGAGCTTCCAAAGCCGCCAATCTCAAAACAGGGAGACTTAACAATCACGGAGTCTTCTCTGTCATCATCGAACAGTTTAGAGTCTCCAACCACGGCATCTAAGGAACCTAAAGATAATCAACATCCTCCCCAGTCTCCACCACCTGATCTTCTTAGCATTTGAAGTGATATGTTGGGAATGGGGTGTGTTTCATATTTATTTCCTTTGGGTTGCGATAGCTTATCTACTTGCCTTCTTCAGTTTTTTTCTTCATTCGGGGTGGGATTTTCTTCTAAGGTGTTAATGTTTGAATATTTCTTCTGGTTTTGTAATTTGTACATTAGGATTGGTGGGAGTATTTTGTTATATAAAGTCTATGTCTTCATCATGTAGCACTTGTTTTATGGTACAGCCTGTTACTGTTCTGATCCTGCACCGGGGAACAGTGTAAACATCGTGAGAAAGTTTTGTTCTTTTATGGGGTACCACTGACAGGGAGGGTGATAAAGACATGCAGTGACACATTGGTATTAAAGAAAGAAGTGTGTACATGTTTTATAGCCCTATTTATCAAACCAGAGAGGACAAAATAACCGAAGAAACTTTAAAAAATTACAGCCGCACAATAAACTTTAATGACGCCATTTTGATATATTACACATAAAAATAACAATTTAGATTTGGAAAATGATAGATAACCTTCTTCATAAAAACAACCATATAGATGTCTGGAAAGGATGGGTTGTGTAAACTTTAGATTTAGGATACACAATTACTTTGTATTAGAGTCTTTTTTTCACAAATTAGAAATAGGATTCACAATTTCACTTGCATCTACAAAAAATTGTGATCTTGATATGTTTTACCCATTATAATTTGTACATACTGCTGGGATAATTTGCAGGAGAGAAACAACTGGAGAGCTAACCCAGAAAGTATATTTTAATACGAAATACTTTGGGATTATTTATATATTTCTATAAAGAGCGCTTTCAATATAAAAGATCTTAGGGGACACTGACTCCATATCATAATAAGGTTAATGTTTTAGATTATTTTTTATAGAAATATTAAAATATCAACTCAAGCTATACATTTATTGCTATTTTTCTAATCTCTTTATTTAAATTATTCTCAATCTTTATATAAGACTCAAGTCATATTTAAAATATTAAAATATTCATCATCTACTTCATGTTATAATGGAGATCAATACTTTAGATTATTTTAAAAGCAAATATAATAGTATTTTTAATTTTTAATTTTTGAAATTATAAATTTATAGATATTTCCCTCCTCTCTCTCTCTTTTTCTTTTTTTCATTTTTACACAGCATGAGAACTCATATTTGAAGTCCAACGTAGATTTTTTTTTTTTTTAACTTACTGATATACATGAGTTTTAGCAATATGATAATTGATATTATTAATTAATTTTTTCAAATTCTACCACCGTGCTACCTCGAGTGATATTAAGAAAATGCAAGAAATGAATCATTGGAAAGTGATAAGAACTTTAAAATGGGGTCAAATTTCTGCAACTTAGCGTCAACTGGTTGTGGAGGGTGGAGCATGCTTTGAAGTATGGTTGTATTGCATTGCATGCATAAGGTGAGGATAGTCGTATCAGTAATTCCGGCATGGACGTTTTATTTTGGCATTTTGGAAATGGCCCAAGTAAGGTATGCACGTGACACTCGTTAGAAAGAATGGTTTGTTACGATTAAAGTGAAACTGTATTTGTGGTGGTTGAAACTGTTGTATTGTAGCAGATACACCTTCATCTTTTGGGGTAAGTGGCCAAACCCTTTTCCTGGAATGGCCAAGCTTTCTACCATACCTTGCTGAAGAGAAGTTTGATATGGTTTGAATTGGAGACTTACGCTGCCACTGTGATACCCCTGGTCGGTGCGTCATAACTCAGAGAGAAAAGAAAAACCCATGTGAAATGAAAAAAAAAAAAAAAGTAAAAAAAATGGGGCCAACATGCCCCCTGCCATTTCCTATGGGGAAAAACCAGGACAAAATTCCACTCTCTCTTCGGTTGGGTTCATTGTGGAATGAGGATCTATAATATTAGAATAAACAAGACAATGGTGCTCACTTAAATACCCCTTTTGATCCACAAATGAAACCAAATTTTAAAACGATATTGCATGCAGACAGATTGATTTTGCTTGCTACCACCATCATCATGATGGAATGTGATGGCATTCAATGGAGTGGAACATTTGGGCCACTAGTCATAGAAAAAGCTCCTCTGTACCAAAATTATATCTAACTATTCGATCATTAATATTATTGAACTCCACAGAAATTCCCCGTTTTTAAACAAGGTATTTCGTAATTTATTGTTGTGCTTTATACAAAATCTAACCGCTTTTTCAAACCAGAAACATAGATACTGTAAATTTACGGAAAGCGTGAAAGAGAAAGCTTTGTTTGAATTAAAAGCTCTTAGAAGGTGGTGGTAGTATACATTAAAGTGTTTGTTGGTTATCATAAATAAATATAAGATTTTTCTTTTGTTCCGCATTTATATGATAATTTTTTTGGTTGGTCCAACGCTACAATCACAATCAAAGGGACATGGAACCTCTAAAGAAGCCATGGGGTGGCCTCTAGCAGATGCCAAAATTAATTCATAGAGAACGTATATGGTTTTGAAGGAGGGGGAAGAAAAAAAAAAAAAACACTTGGATGATCATTACTCCATGATTGAGGAACTGAAAAGTGCAACACAACTTCTACCAAAGATTTTGACACTGAATACACCGTGTAGTATATGACAAATGATTCATAATTTTAGTACTAGGGAAAGAAAAATCCAATAACTAAAGCACCTAGACATGGCTTGGAAATTCAAATTGTTTGTGTCCAAGAAGGAGCAAAGAATAAAAATCCAAGGTAAATTAAAGTTGAAAAATGAAACTTGAAAGACAGAAGATCTAACTCGGTACCAAAATGACAAACAACTTTACCCCAAAATCTACGAAAAGAATGGGAAGCAGTGGAGGGACTTGCACTTTTTGTACAAAGGTTTTCTGTTTGCTTGGACCTATTGTGTTGTCCAATACAATATCATATCACCCACTATATTCTCTTCTATTTTTTATTTTGATGTTATCTCTTACTTTCACTGCTTTTTATTTCTCTTATCTTTCTTTTCAGATTCAAAGTCGTTAAAAAAAAAAAACACTCCGAACCGGTTGTTATTTGGTGGTATCTTTATTTCGAGTAAATACAGTTCTATAATTATCTCTTTCTCTTTATATACATTTTTTTCCTTTGTTCGAAACTTATATGTTAATATACCCATGTTATCATTATCGGTAAAATGTTTGACTCAATAATTATACTCAACTTAATTTTAATTGATTCTGTAAGGTTTGTACTATTTTTTTGTATACCATGCTATTTTGTATTTTTACTAGAATAACGACATAAGATTTCATTTGTAATGTTTTTTTTATTTACATATTATTTAACTTTTTCGTTTCTATTCAATAAATTTAAAAAGTATAATATTTATCATGATCATATTAACTTATAAATGATGTTTTTAAATTAACTATTTTTTTAAGAGAATAAAATGTTCTTTTTTCTAATAAAATTAAATATTAAATAATACATTTATATATTAATTAAAATATTTTAATTTTATAGATATCTTAGATCATATTATAATTCTATTAATTATGATTATAGGATTTGGTGCTTTTAAAAGTTAAAATTATAATATTTAGATATTTAAGTATAATTTTTATTTTGTGTGACATCAATAATATAAAAAACTTATAATTTTATATATTATTTCATAGTTTTTTTGTTTTAAATTTCATGACGCTAATGATACTCAAAATGGAAATTAGAAGTTTGTACCAAGTTTTCCTTGCAATTGTTGCATTAACAGGAAGACGAGAGCCTTAACTAATACTTATGATGTTTTTTTTTTTTTTCTCTATCTTCTTCTAACTTTAATTCCATAAATTTTTATTCTTTTGGCGAGTGTTATTGGGGGTTCTCGTAAATAACTCAGGAGTACGCATCCAAAAAAAAAATGGTTAATGGGAATTTATGAAAATGTAAAAAACTCAGCAAAGACTTGATTTGGATTAAAAATATTAGTAGAAATAGTGTGTATGAAGAAAAGATGAGGACTTTAGGTAGCACAATAAAAGCAGTTGATAGAGAATGAAAAGTACAATTGTATATTGTAGTTGGGGTGATTGATTATCCCTGTGGTAGCCCACACAATTTTCATTTTATCATTACTCCCCTTTGACTTCATTTAATTTTGCAGAGAACTGCACTAAGTATAATCTGAGCTACATTGCATTGTATATTGGATAACTGTCAGCAAACCATCCTTCCTTCAATATTCAATTCATCATTGCAGAAAATCCATAAAAAAAAATGTACATTGAATCAAATTTTCTTTTGAAATATTTCAAAAAATAAGTCAAAAGAGTTAGATAATATTTAATTTAAAAAGGTTATAAATTCTCGAAATAAATATCGATTATATTGAAAATATCATACTGCAAAAATAGCTGTAAAAAACAGAGAAAAGCATTGAAGAACGTATGTAATCTACTTTATTTGATTTGGAAGAAAGTCAATGCAATAGTTAAAGTTGAGAAACTTTTTCTCCTATTATAAGCTTTATTTGAACTTGTTTTATACGACAATGAAAGTTTTGTGGTGCAAAAGTTTATACTCCGTTTTCCCTTATTTCAATTCGTAGTTTTGAAGGGTGAAAAAGCATCCAGAAAAAAAGTGTGAGTTGATAGCTGCACATGGCCTCCAACAATAATACCAATAAAGCAGTTTGCCCTCAAGGTAAGTCCACCTCCACAGCCCCACCGTGTGCCCTATTTCACACCATTGAAAAGAAAAAAACATTTATATTTTAAAAATAAATATTCAACTTGGGAGATAGGTTTGTAGTGAGAAGACATTTGAAGCTGATCTTAATAATTTTGCTGTGAAAGAAGGGTGAGGAGTGGTGAAGTACGAGTTATGGATGGACAGTGGCAGACATGGCCAGCATTGTAGGGTCAGAACCATGAATCCCAAGACCAAAACAGATGATAATTTGAAATTTTGAAGTGGAAATTAAAATTTTCTTAAGTAAAAGGTAAGAAAAGAAAAGAAAAGAAAAACCCAGAAATCATGCAGACG